ACATACATACATACATACATACATACATACATACATACATACATACACACATAAGATGTCGTATACATATACGGTAGTACATCTTCAAGTTGCTGGTCGTCCCCTTTCTAATTGAAACGTTGCAGTTTTCCTATATTGTTGCATCTCTTGTTTTTGTTTACGTGTTCATTCTCTGCTTCCACTTGTTCGAGAAAACTGATGATCAGTTGCCTGAAACACCAAATGAAGCTGGAAAATCAGGCACAGATTACACCAACCCCAACAAATCCAACGAAACCCCACTCTTGCCCATAGGCCAGTAAAGGGCGCAACCTTTCTGACTTGGATGAGCTCCACAGCTCAAAACATTTCAAGAACAAGACGATTACTGGCGCGGCAAGTGATTGCCTGCTCTTCCTGCTCCAACTTGATCTCATGCTGACGAAATGGCAACACCTGGTCAATGGCTGACAGCCCTGACAGCCCTTTACAAGCTCCAAAACTGCTTTGGTGCGTGGCACCACCTTTGCAAAGCCTTTTTTGACGTTCATCAAAACTCTGACAACCTCTACAGTGTCTGAGGCCACAGCTTCCGGAATCACCTCAGCCGCTACCGCAGGCTTTTCCGCGACCTGCGGCCAGAGGTTCCTTCCCATCATCTCACGATGAAGGGAAGCCATCCTTCACATGGTCCAATCAGTCAGTCCCTGGCAACAAATGCCCTCCTATCGTTGTGGAGTTTGCGGGCTGCGTTTTGTCGTTCACAAACTACAAATCCAACTAGATGACACCGTGGCCCGAAAGCGCAGCAGGATAGCACAGATGCAATTTTGTCACAAAACGCAAACGTGCCTTCGTTCGAGGCCATGGCACAGCGACATCACCAACACAATTTCGCCACACCGCCTGCCACAGACTAGATGCAACAATGTGACACAAGCCTTGTCAACACTGCAAATCATCCCACTCACCACATTTACACGCGCATGTTTCCCGTTCCCCAATGGCACAAAGCCACGAAAAAGCACTTTCGTTCAAGGCTCAAAACTGCATCGTGCAGCAACATCATCCACATAACTTCACCACACTGCCAGCCGTTCAATGTGGCCCCAACTTGACCCCACAAACAAGCGCAATTTTGCATTTTACAGTGTCGCACCGCACCGGCTGCGGACACTCAACATCTATACACCTGTCACACTATTCGCAAGCATGGCAAGCGTGTGAACCATCGAGGGCCCCTTCCGGATGACGAAAATAGCGGCCTTCCTGCGACGCAGGGCCGCGTCTACGGGCTGCCTGACACGTCATCACACGCATGTTAGATGCCTCTGACCGTCAGGAGCAAAAAATCAAGTGAGGGCAATGCTTGCAAACAGCCGAAACGCTAGGCAAATGGCAAAACTGATGATGGCATGGTCCCTGGTTGTTGACACTTCCGGGTGGAAGAGCCTGGGACATGGGAGGGCATTTTGCTTTGCGCGATCTGCCCTGAAAAGGAACAACACCATAACACCATATCCTGAGGTCTGGGGCGCCTCACTGCACCTGACCAGGAATCATGAAGGGAAGTCAGCGAGACCTTTGACCGGTGCTCCGGGCAAGGGAAGGTGGCGCCGCGCTAGATTGTCAAAAGAACAACAGCAGCAGCCAACGTAAAACAAAAGGGAGCCTGGAACTGGGACAGTTTGTAGACATCATGTATGTTGGCGGCTGGAAGCCCAACGAACAAATTCCTCGCACGACTTGTTCTTGCGCCTATCTTTCGTAGAGAAACAAATGCGAGGAGGTTGAGGGCATCAGCCAAGGCCCCATCCCTGTGAAATCACTGTCAGCGGCAAGCGCGGGAAGAAAAGTTGGTCTCCTTCATTGGCCTGCGGAGTGAAGGGGCGGTTGCTACCTTGACCCTCGAGAAGAAACAGAGAAATGTAGTCAGAAGCCACATTCATGAACTCCTCGAAGGGCTTCGCAAAGATGGTCAGGAGGCCATGTTTTTGGAGCAGAACACCAAAATTTGCCAGAGCCTGGATGTCTGGGCCCCCGTGTTCGTCCTCCAACAGCCTGAAAGTCCTTGAGGCCCACGCAGGAGGGATGTGGTCCTGCCAGGATCAGCACATTGCATTTGGGAATGCTTCTCAGGAAAGTGTCACCAGTAGCCCAAAGCTCAGTCCAGGGATGCTGGTAGACGTTGAGGATGTCTATTGTCGTGGAGGCCATGTAGAGTCTGGTGTGCAAGGCTCTTCCTGTGGCAAGCTCCCTCCAGTCAATGGAGCAGAAGGATCGTCGAACAATGGTCAGAAAACCACCAGCTTTGCCCCGGGCGCCACTGCGGATGTAGGCGCAATGGTCGTCCGTCCAATCTCCACTGAAATCCCAACGGATGTCTTGGATTGTCAGGAAGTCAATGGGCTGGGAGTGCATCCAGTCCTTGAGGATGTCCGGCTTGTAGTAACTCAGCCAATGTTCCAGCTGAAGCCACTCAGTCTATTGGCTCGGCGTTTGGAAGGAGGAGCTCTGTTGACTGGGTGAGCCAGTTGGCTCGATCTGTCAAACTCCAAGTTGTTCAGCAGAGTAAGGGATGTCCTTTTGATTGCACGAAGACAGGACTTCTTCTTGGGTTGAGGTTGGTCTGAAACAGAGCGTAGGAATGAAGGTCCAAGGCCACATTGCTTTGCCATGTTCTGTGAGGGCTGGATGTCATAGTAGACGGCTCCACTGACCCATGTGGCTGAGTCAGAACCCTCGGGCCACCGCTCATGTGCACATCTGGTCGCAGTCGTAGTCGATGAGAGGAGATCATCAAGGAGATGAGCAGGTAGAGGATGATGT